TAGCCAGCTGGCGAAGCCAGATGTTCTGAATGTGTACCAAGATGCGCTGACATCTGGGCTGAGTAAGCGAACACTAAACACCGTTGAAGATCACTGGTCGCATACTCGTCAAGCGTTGCTATTAGCAGGCATGTCCTCATGTGGCAAAACAAATTGCAAAACCGAACATTGGGTCTCTACACAGTCTCTGGAACTTATGGATGCTCGCCGACGTATTCCGGCTGGAAGCAAATAAAATGAAGCTCGCAAAAATCTCAGGGCGAAACTACGTGCTAGCCTAAAGAAGGACCGCGAAACCTGGTGGTCTCATCGTGCCTCTGAGATGGAAACAGCCGCTTCCATTGGTAACCATCGTAAGTTATACCGGCTGATACGGGCAACAGGCAGCAGGAGATCTGGTGTTAGCGAGACCATACGCGACGAGAGTGGGCAGATGATCCACAGCCTGTCAAAACGCTTGGAGTGTTGGGCCGAACACTTTGCTATGCAATTTAACCAACCTGAGTTATCGTTTTCTTCTTCGGGCATTGAGCGCCCTTCTCCTTGGGCCGTCTCCTTGGATCCGCCCTCACGCGCAGAAGTCGAACGTGAGATCAGGCTGTTGAAATTGCATAAGGCCGCAGGAGCAGATAGAATTCCTCCAGCCCTCTTGAAATTCGGTGGACCTGCTCTAGTAGATGATCTACACGAGTTGCTAGTAAAACTTTGGGAGCAGGAGACAGTCCCGACAGACTGGAACCGCTCCGTCATTGTCCCAATTTTCAAGGGAGGCTCCCGTTTAGAATGTGGCAATCATAGAGGGATCAGTCTGATTTCAATTGCCTCTAAATTGCTTGCCTCTCTCATTCTCCACAGACTGACTGGCACTCGTGAAAGCCAAATTCGTGAAGAGCAAGCCGGATTTCGTCGAGGTCGGGGATGCATCGACCACATCTTCACCTTGCGTCGACTGTTGGAGCACCGCCATGTTTATTGGCGACCCACCGTTGTCGTGTTTCTTGAAATAAAGGGTGCCTTCGACTCAGTCGATCAATGTGCCCTTTGGGACTGTCTGTTGAGGAAAGGTGTGCCTGATAAATATGTAAACATTATCAAAGCGCTGTACGCGCATAGTTCGGGCAGGGTGAGGGTTTATGGAAAACTCTCGCCACCCTTCAGTATCACCAGCGGTGTGAGACAGGGATGCCCGCTGTCACCTTTCCTCTTCAACTTCGCTATTGATGAAGTCCTGGAAACAGCGTTCGCTGGACACGACCTAGAAGGTGTGGAGCTACTCCCTGGTGAGCGACTTCTTGACTTGGAGTATGCAGACGATATTGCCCTAATCTGTGACAGCTCCCAAACATGCCAAACAGCACTGAACCGATTAGCACTGGCTGTCAATCGTTTTGGGCTATGCTTTGCTCCATCGAAATGCAAAGTACTTATCCAAGATTGGCAGGGACCCAACCCTGCGCTAACGCTTGGTGGTGATCTGCTAGAAGTCGTTCAGGAATTTAAGTACCTGGGCAGCTATATTAGCACCCGTGGGATTGAAGATGAGGTTACGAACCGTATAGCAAAAGCTCGAGGTGCTTTTGCCAATCTCCGCCACCTGTGGCGCAGACGCGACATTACTCTCGCTCTGATGGGCAGAGTTTACAACGTAGCCGTCCGTTCAACTCTCCTATATGGTTGTGAAACCTGGCCCATCAGGTCGACAGACATGAAGAGACTCGTCACGTTCGATCATCGCTGCCTTCGCAGCTTCGCTCATGTCTGGTGGGAACACCGCGTGAGCAATGAGCGTGTTCGGCGTCGCGTATTTGGTGTAGGAAGAGCGAGTGAACCGCTCAGCACGATTATATCACGCACCAGGCTCCGATGGCTGGGCCACGTCTTGCGCATGCCAGCACACCGACTCCCACGACGTGCATTGTTTGCGCGTTTTGGGTGCGGTTGGAAGAGTAGGAGGGGAGGCCAAGTGATGACTTGGTCGAGAGAAATGAAAACCCTCACTTCAAAGTTGGCGTCGGTTGGTGCATCCCGACTGCCTGGCTGGGGTCCTAAGGACGATGAGCATGTTTGGTTGGACACACTTGCTGATATGGCTAGGAGCCGGCCCCAATGGCGTTTGTGTTGTGAGTTGCTTTGTCCATCCGCCTCCTGTTTAGCATCCCCCTCCAATCACGATCTCAATCGTTAGGCATAATATGATTCTCTTTTTACGGCAGCCAGCTGTTAGCTCTCCGGAACGATGTCCATCCGTTACTGGGGACTCAGCGGGCGTGCCACAGATTGTTTGTTTTTTCTTTTCTTGCCTTTTGTATTGCGGCACAACAGCTGAGGTGTTTTCCACCTCCAGCTAACGTGTAATGATGATGATGATGATGACGAGGCTGGTGAGCGCCAAGTCACCCTCCGCGGATGCTGTGTCGGAAATTAGTGCTCGCAAGAAATAAGCGAGCATCTTCACACAAATGAGGTAACCGCTCACCGTTATCATTACGGGAGCCTACACCGTGCTGACCACCCAGATGCAGTTCATCAGTGGACAACTTTCCAACTTGTGCGTTCATATCACACGCCAGCACAACAGTGTCCGTGCTTCTTCTGTGGCAAAGGAGCTGAGTCAGTTGGCGGTAGAAATCGTTCTTTACCGAATCATCGCTACAGTTTGTGGGAGCGTAGGCAGCGATGATGAATAGACACCTATTAGTCCCGCGCGACTTCGAAGCTTTAAACGAGCCAGCCATTCGGACCGCACACATCCGGCTACTGATTGGAATCCAATCAAACAGAGCAGCTTCAGCCCAGGGACTCAGGGCAATGCCAACACCAGCTTGGCCAGTGTTCGAAGCTGCATCGTCACCGGATAGGCGCACTGAGAAAATACTGCTTGTGTCATCTGAAGAGGATCGCAGAGTGAGCACAGAGCTCGAGTCTTGCAGGCGGGTCTCTGATAAGCAGCAGATATCGATCGAGAGGGTCTCCAATGTTCGGGCAAGTGCTGCCTGTTGATCGATTTGTGGCAGTGTGCGTACATTGAGGCATGCCAATCTGAAGGAGAATAGAGGGCTCCAAATGGAAGCCGATGAACTGGAATGGACCGCTTGGTTGGACATGGGCTTGTCAACAGGAGAGGAGTGACGCTCCGCGTTCACATGTGAGTTGGAATTAGAAGATAAATGCCTAGCAAAGCATGTTGGGGGAGGGCCAAGAATCGGGGGGTTGAAAACTGGGGGGATTTAAGTGAAGTTGGAACGGGACGGGAAGAGTGAAAAAGCGTAAGATGGGGAATAAGAAGAAGGGAAGGCTTGAGCAGTAGCATCCAAACCCCTATCCACGCTGCCCGATGCAGCAGATAGGGCACCGTTGATTACCCTCTGCGGTCGCCAGAGCATCAGCAATTTGTTTGAGATAATATTCATGGTATTGCGTGGGCAGAATACTGTCAGGTTGCCCAGGCCTAGACAGCAGAACGATTAGGGTTCTCAACCAAAGCCTTTGGTTCAAAAACCTGACCGCAAGACAGCGGGTTTGGCGTTGGGCTACAAGGAGTCCGTTTTAAGGAATAAGGTGCCACCCTCATTCCAACCCCCAACCTGGAGGACCAGGAGGCTGAGTTTGTCTGGCCTCTAACCATTGACCAATCTGGTATGAGTGACTCTGAAGGTGCAAAAGCACCACCCAGTATAGCTTAATGGATCGCTGAGGCACACAAACCATCGCACCATTGCAACCATTAACAAGTGAGGTCTATCAAAGCTCTATGTGGTTACTTTAGTTGGCCTTGTAAGACAAGTTGCACTCAGAAGAATGTTCATGGGAATCCAATCGAAAAGCGAGGACGCTTCTTTGAAGATGTGAATGATGCCCAATTTAACTTACTTTGAGGACCCTACATCAGTAAGAGTAGACGCAGTTAGACCGACAACTGCGTAACGTTCAAAGATTGTAGGGTAGGAGTCGTAGGATTCGTCAATGGTAAGGGTATTTGGCGTGGGTGCAGGTGCAACACGCTGACCTATTAGCAGGAGAACGAGAGTTCATTGCAGGGGAGCGCTACCTGACAACAGATTTCTGTTAGCAGGAAAATGTTTGTCACCATGGCTCCAGATAACGGGGAATGGTCAAAATCGAAACAGTTTTCATTTGTGATGCGAACAAGAGAAAGAAAGTCAGTGACAAACGTCGGAGTGTTTAGGAGAAACGTGTGGAACATGAAGGGAAGATCAATACTGGCCTCTTTTCGCTCATCAGCTCTGTTGCATGCAAAAATAAGGAGGAGATTACAATCACGTCATGATCGATTCGGAGTATGAATGCAGTTTAAGGAGAAAGCCATTGATGCGAATGCACTGAGATAACGCCATGTTTCGCAAGAACATGCAGATCGATTGGGTTGCTCGGACGTTCAAATGCGAGTCGAATATGATAGGCTAATGGTTTTTAAGATGGACGGATTGCGTAGAAACGAGTGTTGCCTCACTTCCAGCACCGATGAGGGAAAACCTGAAGTCAATCCCAGCCCGAGTTGACGCTTTCCCCACAATCAGTGCTATGCAAACGTTTGGTGAGTTTACCGAAAAGAATTCTTTACCTTGAAGTGATTTCTGATATTGATTCATATTAATGAAATGGGAATATTTGCCTTGCTGAAGACCAGCATTGCCCGTGATTTGTTGAAAAGCAAGGGTCTGAGTCTTCTGAGCTGCAACCGCTAGACAATCGGGTAGATGCAGTTCCCAAAGTGTTCGTGTGTACCACTCAGTGGGTGGAAGGTATGCGCAAACTGTCGTAACACGTTAGGATCTAGGCTCGTTCAAATGTCATGAAATGGTACAACCAGTGATTAAGCATGAAAAGACGGTATCGCAATGTGGCGCTAGTGCTGGGATTGAGGCGCTCAAGTCCATGGGTTACACGTACTCGATAGAGGTGTAGATAATTCGTATATTTGCTATGTGCTAGACAAAAAGAACAGATTTAAAAAAAACCGATGACAGAGCCAAACGTACCGGTGATAAGAACATCCGGAATGTCTGAGATTGAGGATATGTTGGAATGCTGCTTCTGTGACCCCGGGTTGCTCTCACCAAGTGCAAACTCTCTATGGTGAAGGGAAGCCAAGTCGTCTGTTTCCCTTGAGGCGGATAACTCCGTCCCATCTTGGCGTGCGATTGCTTGTGTGTTACCAGTAATCGACCCACGATGCCACTGTGTCATACTATTGATGGGTCGGACTCCAGATGTGGGGATGATCTTTCCATTGACGCAATTTGTTTCAAATGTCTTTTCTGCTCTAGACTTCGTTGCGGTGTGGATGTTAGGAGAGAAAGGTTGTTCGTCAATGCGCGGATCTGTCCCAGTGGCTGAGAAGCTCGAGCTGTCTGCAGCGGCGCTCTTGGAGGAAGCTCGTCGACGCTCCCTATAAGTTACAAAAACCAAAGTGGAGAGAACGGTTTCGGCTTAGTTAGCACTGAAATGTGACCGTTCTAGATGACGTGACTTGAGTCGCAATAAACTTATAATGCATGATTGACGGAAAACACAGACACAGATGGAGTGATGAATGCGTTAGGAAAAAGGCAAGTAAGACGGATAGATTGGCACACTAATGGTTGAGTGAATGAAACTGCAACTGCGACTTTTCGGGGAAAGTGCCAACCAATGACGCGACAAACCCCTAGGTTTTCACCAGTCTGACCAAGTCCGTAATTTAACTGGTGCAGATTTTGCGTCCGTTGAACTTACTAGATAGACGCCTTGGTATACTTCATCCAGTTGAGGAAAACCTTTTCCCGCTGACATTTTGACCCTGCTTAGTCGCGCTATTATTGTTCATGGTAGTGAACAGTGTGAATAGAGGAGAGTGATTTCACCGCATCCCGGTGCCTAGACTACACTCCCCAGATTGGAGGTAACCATCTGCAGCATATACTAGTGCACTGCGAGACCCGAGATCCATCAAACAACAGATCATTTTGGACTCTAAATGGTTAGGGTAGAGAAAATCAGTTGAGGTTTTGCTGGTTAACCTGGAGTGCTCAGCTCCGCTTCAATAACGCCCTACCAGATTCAGGGCAGTTATCAAACTCGACTTCGTTCACCGGACATCGGAGCTGAGAAATCGTGGAACGTTAGTAGGTACCGAAGCGAGATAGCTGAACGCAAATTCCTAGTGGAAACAGTCCTGGTACAAAAGCTCGCACATTTAACAAATATTTCTGTCATGCGAGTATCAGCAGTCGTGTGGGGGCTAAGGATACTGCGAGATTGCCCGTATCCATACGCGATCGAACCGGGAAAGCATGGATCACATACCAGGCACATGAAGCACTCGGCCACCGACCATTTATTTGTAAAGTGTCAATGAAGAAAACATTAAAGTCGCTTGTCCGGGTCACCAAACTACATGACCACAATCTGAATGCGTTCATACGATATCACCGCCGCACCCCGGCCATGTTTAGCCCCTTCATATCGCATGGCAGTTCAACCAGTTTGAGCGATACTCAGCGTGTTACCTACGCACAGGGACCGCTCACACCGCTACACCACACTTCGTACGGTAGGCTCGGTAGCGTTTGGCACACCATTATCCTGAACGCCCGCTTGACCCCACTCACCTGGTGTGACACACGCGGCCGTGCCGTTGACACAGGAACAACACGGCGCGCCATGGCTTTCATGCTACTGTGCTTGTCATTGATTCAAGCGAAATGCAAGCAAGTCTGGTCGTGGCGAAGTAACTGGTACAAACACCACCTGCCGTGATATGTTACGGTCACGTGGTACAGTTTTCGAACCCATAATGTTCATGATAAGTGTAATCTCGTCAAGACAAGAGGAGTAACTACAGGCGTCTCAAGGTAGGTCACATGTCTGCTAAGTGCAGAGGTAGCGAAGGGTTCAGAGTACCCGTGATAAACCAGATTGGCGGAAGCGTTGGATTTCGATTTCGGTCTGTCCCTGAAGCACCTCTGGCTACCACTCCCAGAACTGCAGTTAGAAACCACTGCTGCAAGCTGTTTATTTAGGCCGGCTCTATGCATATGCTTGCGAAACTTATTATGTGTTATATCACCAAAGTCACCTGTATGATGTAGAGTTTACGTGCACTTTGCGTGAACCGTGGCTTCTTCATCAGAAAGACCCTTAACTACTTGTTTTGTTTGTTTTCCGGTAGGATGCAATACCTTTCATCTTTTCAGCTCCCGTTTAATGTACCGCTCCTTATGGCTACTAAGAAAAGAAAAGTGGGCAATGAATGTAGCGCTTTCAGCAAATAATGGGGGGGGGGGGGTAAAATACTTCTTCGTGGAAACTATGGTCCGAAAAGTCAGCTGCGCAAGATACGATGAAAGTGTTACCGTTTTGAAGGTACAATATTCGGCGACTTTAAGAACCGAAACTCCCAGCAGCATATTGGAATTTCTCGGGGAAACAACGCACGGCGTAATATGAGTCCATGAAAGGTGTTCTAAAAACGCAAACAATTCTTTTCAAAAGTAGGCTATCCAGAAATGACTCTGTCACGTGCACTAGACACAAAATAGTGCCAAAATGAGAAAAAGAGAAAACCCATTTATTGGTGTCAACTTAACCAGACTGCATACTGGAAGCGGTGAATGATTTGTGTCCTGAGAAAGTCAATTGGTTTGCAACTGTGAGCCTTTCGACGTTAATTCGTGAAGAGAACAAGAGAACTCAGAGAGAACATGGTATTGCAGATACACGAGAAAGCTGAAAAATGTTTGCCATATTCTCTGGCGTTGGATATGTCTACTGGTTACTCGAGTAAGTCACAAGTTTCTTGCTCACGCGAGATGTCAATTTGGTTTCAGATGATGAAACAGTTGGCATCGGTCGGCAGTAGGCACGTTCTTACGAAATATGTGAACATTTTACATACGTTCCTACGAAATATGTGGACTTTTTACATACGTTCCTACGAAATATGAGATTTCACGGGGCCGTGTACTCGAACACTACAGGTCACTTCAGGGTCTACGGTGACTAGTCCGGTGCCTTTCTGATAACAAATGGCGTTTGTCAGGGTTGCGCAATTACCCCATTTTGTGCAACTTCGTCCTGGACTCCATCATGGAGTGTTCCCTTGCGGAGCCTCATGATGCAGGCGTTGAAGTGCTGCGTTGGGGTGGGCAACCTCGCGGTATACACAGCCAGTGTGCGACTGGTGGTTGTCGCACGGCAGCGAAGCGCCGTTACGGCGTACAGGTGACATTAGTATGTTATATTTTGCGCTGTCTGGTGAAAAGCTAATTGATTGTGAATCTGCGGACGATTTTATCCTGCGTTTTAACGATGTTGGGGTGGCGCAGTCAACCCTGAATAGCCTCTCCAGAGTGATCCCATTATTTGGCATGCGATTCCAACCTTCAAAGTTGATGACCTTTTGATTCCGGGTGGTGATGAACACGAGATAGTTCATCACTTAACCTACTTAGGCGGCTGTATCAGCAACGATGGGCGCGTAGAAACTGAAGTCAGTTCACGCATTGCAAAAGCTAGAATTGAAATTTGGGATTTCCGCATCGCCTCAGCCAAAGCGTAAAGAAGTGCTACCACGCCACGTGATAATTTTATGAAGTGTGTGTATACAGCTATTGAGAATGCCCGAAATAACTGAATTCATTGTACCCTGTTACAATGTGTTCTTGCAATTTTGAAATCTGTAAAATCCTGTATGAAATTTCGTAAGAAACGCCTCCATGCAGATGCCTTTCGCTAGCTGCATAATCGAGTGGGCTTATGCTGTCGCATCTGACATGAATCTACTCGTGTGGACATTTATACCGAATGGCTTCGGACGTTCACCTATCCACGCCAATTTGTGAAGAGACTGAGAAGAGAAAAGTTATCGATAAACCCTCGGGACTTGCAAAGTCTAACAAAATCACATATTGAAGCCTCTACTCAACGCATTACAGTTGAACATCAGTGTAAGGTGTGTCGACCACGTCCTAAACACTTTAAATCTTGTGTGCGTGCAAAATTTTTAACTTCCTTCGGGATCTACGGCTAGTAACTAAACAACAGCTTATGAGCGCCATGTCACCTGGACCTTTCAGTGATCAGATGCCGGATACAGCCCGAGAAACATGCTCGTAACTTGTCCACTGTCACAGTAAGTCATTCTCAAGTTGAAGTTCTCGTATTGGGGTTTAATCTCTCTGTGCCCCATAAGAAGTGTGACAGCACAGCGATTGAAGCAAAGCTCAAAAAGTTATACTATCAGCTGTCCAGTTTGACATCAGCTACAGACGATGCTTGTAGTTGATTTAGGGTCAAGGAGGTAGATTTAGGTAATCAATTTCACGTTGCTGAAACCGAAATATGCAGAATTGGGAGTCGCAGGCTACTCTGCGCCGAAATGAAAAAGTGATAATACTGAAACTTGACAAGGGATCAGGAGTGGTCATTATGAAAAAACAAGATTAGATTCAGAAAATGGAGACCATTTCGCAGAATCTAGCCGCTTCGTTCGTGATTTGATAGGTGGCGATAGAAACGAACACGTTGAACGGTTCATAGTTTGATAATTAAAAAAGCTACTGAAAGCTGGATTGAGTGACACGGAAACCATGAAAAAGCTGCGCCTACGTGGATCTCGGCTTCCTCACATGCACGATTTACCGGACACACAAAGAAGGCATTCCAATGCGTCCACTTGTCTACATGGTAAACGCGCCATATCAGAAATCGGCAGGTTGGCTAGCCGAGCTGAGCGAACCTATCCGGCGTGAGTTAGACGGACACACCCTCCAAGATACATTTGAATTTGTCGGGGGAATAATAGGTTTAAACGTAGCTGTTCACCAACGTTCCATTTAGAAGAACCTTTGGCCATCATCGGTATTGATGCTGACAAAGTGGGGCTTCCAGCAAATCACCTCAAGTCTTTACTTCGATTGTGCACGTAAGATATTCAGTTCCAATTCAATGGATCGATCTAACGTCAGGTCGATGTAGTTGCCATAGGCAGTCCACTTGGGCCAGCCCTGGCAGATATTTTAATGAGCCATTTGGAGAACACCGAACTGCGTCCTAACATCCAAACTGTGCGATCGTACAGTAGATGACACCTTGGTTGTGCCTAATACTGCTCAACAGGCGGAGTAGCTACTTCATGTTCTAACCAAATGCCACTTTGTAATCCAACTCAAGATGGAAAGCGAAGTGAATAACATCTTCCACTTCTTGGACACACACCTAAGGAGGAATCAGACGGTACATTCACTGAATCGGAAGCCCAATTGGAGCACAATACCACACTTTCGACAGTTTCCGTCCCGAAAACTACAAACGAGGATTGACTCGCTCCGTTATTGCAAGAGTTCACATAATTTGTTCTACAGATACGATTGACAGTGAGCTGGAACGCGTGTCATCAATAATACGTGA